AGTGAATCAAATCAGGGTATATGGAGAAATATTAACAACAAGAGCTATTGTTTCGAAGATCTTGAGATCTTTACCTCCTAAGTTCTACCACATAGTGGTGGCGATAGAAGAAGGGAAAGACTTGTCGAAATTGACAAAGGAAGAGCTTCAAGAGATGCTTGAATCTCATGAACAAAGAATGAATGAAAGAGTTGCAAGCAAATCGAAGAGTGATGTGGCTTTGCAGGAACATTCAGCAAAAGAAACCAAAGGCAAAGGAAAATGTTTTGACAGAGGTAGAGGTGGCTACAACAAATCAAATGGTAGAGGAAACCAGAACGAAGAAAAATATTCGAATCAAAGAAGACCACACCAAAGCAACCAAAGAGGTGTTATTGTAAATAGAGGAAGACGTGGTGTTCGAAAACCTGATAAGAGTCACATTCAATGTTACAATTGTCAGAAGTATGGTCACTATTCGAGTGATTGTCCAAAAAAGCGAAAGAATCAAGAAAGTGATACAAAGCTTGAAAAACATGAAGAAGAAGAGATGATGCTGATGATCACAACAAGAGATGAAGATAGATTCAAGGACCAATGGTATTTAGATTCAGGATGCTCATCACATATGTCTGGAAGGAAAGACTAGTTTGTCAATATAAAGCCCTTAATGTAAAATATGGTAAAGTTTGCAAATGACAATACCCTAGCAGCTGAAGGTATTGGTGATGTTATGATTATGAGGAAAGATGGCAAGAGATCAGTAATTTCCAATGTATTGTACATACCAGGCATGAAGAGAAATTTGCTCAGTATAGGGCAGTTGATCGAAAATAATTATAAAGTATCAATTGAAGATAAGATGATGAGAGTCGTCGATGCAAATGGAAGATTAATCTTGAAGGATCCTATGTCTCAGAATCGAACCTTCAAGATCGAACTAAATGTGATGGAGCACAAATGCATTTCGACTGCAGCTAGCAGAGATGAATGGATATGGCATTATCGACTAGGCCAACTTAACTTCAGAGACATCAAAGATTTGAAAAGAAGAAACATGGTTTCAAGATTGCCAGAAATCGACATTCCAAACGAGGTATGTGAGGAATGTGTGCAGGCGAAGCAACACAAGAATAGCTTCAGCAAGGATGCAGGAAGTAGGTCGAAGGCTACTCTTGAAGTCATATACTCTGATGTATGTTGATCAATCCAGGTGGATTCAATGGGAGGTAACAAATACTTTGTTACATTCATAGATGACTTCAGTCGAAAACTGTGGACTTACCTGATCAAGAAGAAAAGTGAAGTGATAGAATTATTTGCCAAGTTCAAGTCTATGGTCGGAAGACAAAGTGGTCGAAAACTCAAAGTTTTGAGAACTGATGGTGGTGGAGAATATGTGTCGAAAGACTTCGACAGACTATGTGAAAAGGAAGAGACTGTACATGAGGTGATGCCACCCTATACTCCACAACAAAATGGAATTGCAGAAAGGAAGAATCGAACCATCATGAATATGGTACGAAGTATGTTGAAAGGCAAGAATTTACCTAAAGAGTTTTGGGGTGAAGCTGTTTCGACTGCAACATACATTTTGAACATATGTCCTACAAAGAAGCTAGAAGGAATTACTCCAGAAGAATGTTGGTCTCGTGTGAAGCCTAGCTTGAGTCATCTGAAGGTATTTGGATCTATTGCACATAGATATATGTCAGATCAGTTGAGAAGAAAACTTGATGACAAGTCAAGTCAAATGATTCTAGTTGGATATTATTCGACAGAAGGCTACAAGTAATTCGATCCATTAAAAAAGTAGATTGTGATCAGCAGGGACGTGATCATGGATGAGTTTAAAGAATGAGATTTTACTGAAATGTCAAGAAATATTCAGTGAGAATCCTATTCGAAGAGCCAAAAACTCAAATCAAAAGAGAAGTTTGACAAGAGGAACCAACAAATATACCAAGTACAAGCAGGCCTCAAAGAACAAGACACATGCCTGCAAGATTGTAAAATTGCAAGATTGCAAGATTGTGTGAGTTGGTACATTATGCTTTCTATGCAGATGTCAAACCTGTCAATGCAGCTTAAGCATTGAATGATTTGAAGTGGGTGAAAGCAATTAACGAAGAAGTGAAGTCTGTCGAAGACAATAACACTTGGTCACTTGTCGAATTGCCTCAAGGCAAGAAGGAAACTGATGTCAAGTGGGTATACAAAGTGAAAACGAATTCGAAAGATGAAGTAACTCGACACAAAGCAAGGCTTGTGGCGAAAGGATTTCTACAGAAAGAAGGAATAAACTTCGATGAAGTTTTTGCAGTTGTTTCTAGGATCGAAACAATCAGGTTGGTTGTTGGTCTAGCATAAATAAACAGTTGGCACATATATCAGATGGACGTGAAGTGTGCATTCCTAAATAGATCCTTAGACGAACAAGTCTATGTTAAACAACCAGTTGGATTTGTGAAACATGACGAAGAAAGAAAGGTGTACAGGCTGCATAAAGCCATGTATGGATTGAAACAAGCTCCAAGAGCTTGAAATAAGAAAATTGATAATTTCCTAAGGGAGAAGGAATTTGTAAAGTGCACAACTGAACATGGAGTATATGTAAGAAGAAGCAATAGTGAATTGCTTATACTATGTCTCTATGTAGATGATTTTTTGATAACAAGTAGCTGCAAAAGTGAGATCGAAGACTTCAAAGGTGGTCTCAGCAAGGAATTCGAAATGTCTGATTTGGGTGAGATTTCATATTTCCTTCGCATCAAATTCTACAAGAGCAGTAGGGGTTTGATGATGCATCAAAGAAGATATGCAGGAGAAATTCTCAAAAGGTTTGAGATGGAAGAATGCAACTCAACTTCGACACCTATAGAACCAAGACTACAACTGTCGAAAGATGCAGATGAAGATGATGTTGACCCAACCCAATACAGAAGACTTATTGGATCATTGAGATACCTTTGTATTACAAGGCCTGACTTAGCATATAATGTAGGTATGGTAAGTAGATTCATGCAGAAGCCAAATGTATCGCATCTAGCAGCAGTGAAGAGGATACTGAGGTATCTCAAAGGAACTCTTGACTATGACATTTTGTTTCCTGCAGCTGATAAAGAAAAAGAATGCAAGTTAGTGGGATACACTGATTCGAGTTGGTGTAGTGATGTTGAAGATCGAAAATCAATAGTAAGATATGTGTTTATGCTGAGTGGTGCACCAGTTGCTTGGAGTTCAAGAAAGGAATCAGTAGTGACATTATCATCATGCGAAGCAAAATACATAACTTCTTCTCTTTGTGCATGTCAAGCAACTTGGATGGTGAACTTGGTCGAAGAGATAACTGGGAAAGATCATGGAGCAATTACCATGAAGATCGACAGCATGTCAGCTATCAATTTGGCGAAGAACTCAATAGCACATGGTCGAAGTAAACACATCGAAATGAGGTTCCATTATCTTCGAGAGCAGGTAGCAGATGGAAAGATAAATTTGGAACACTGTAGAACTGAGAATCAGATTGCAGACATCATGACAAAAGGAGTACAAGTCGAAATATTCAGAAAATTAAGAACCATGATGAATATAGATAGTTTAGACACAATGAATTAGGTGTTGTGTTAAATTGTAATTCGATTGTGTCAAAAGAGATTAGATTTGTTTTAGATTTAAATAAGATTTAATTTAGATCTAAAACATAATAGAATTGATTTAGCACCAAAATATGTATTTTGAGCTTTTATAGTTTTGGGCTTAGGGTGTAAGCCAAGACTATAAGTAGAGGGAGTAACCCCTATTTTGTAATAAAGTCAATTAAGTTGTATTCACAAAATTTGCAGTTGCAAATGAATAACAAAATTTTCTACAATTTATTGACAGAGAGAAATCTGTAAAAAATAATTTTCTTCTTTCTTTTCTTGTTTTTTCTCATAATTCATTGTCATTGGTGGTAGAAATTCATCATAGATATTTAGTGAATTTCCAACAAAAATAACATATAGTTTATATTTTCTTCCATAAAGAAAAGATAAAAAAAAGACATCATATTTTTATATTTGATTCAAATTTGTACAATAAAAAATATATACTTTTAAATATTTTAAAAATCCCACTTTAAAAGTGGCTTTAGACTTCTAACCAATTTAAATCGGCTCTAAATACAAATTTAAATACAAATTTGAATGATAATAAATGAATCAAAAGGATAAAAAATGACTTTACTAATTTTTTTTACTAATTTTTTAAAAAAGAAACTATCTATTAAAAATAAAATTCATCTAATTTATCTATTAAGATTGTTTTAATGGACAAATTTCATTCATTTATAAAATTAATTTAAATATTTTAACAATTTTTTTATATTAAATTTATTTTATTTTTTAAATCTTACAAAAAAATAAAAATATATCTCTTTTGAACAATTTTTTTACAGCAATCTATCAATTTAAATGACATAAAATTTTATTTTTTACTCTCTCTATCTCTCAAAAAAGATTAAATCTATTTATTTTCAAGGAACTTAAGTTTAATAGAATTTTCTTAAAATACAATTATTTTTTAAAATCCAAAATAAACTCACCATACATTCAGTCTAATCTTATTTAGTCCAAAAAACACAATTTAGTCTTTAGATATATTTTTCTTTGACTCAATTAATTTAGTCTTTAATAAAAATGATAAATAATTAATTTCTACATTTAAATTTTATAAATAAAAAAAAAATATATATATATATATATATATATATATATATATATATATATATATATATATATATATATATATATATATATATATATATATATATATATATATATATATGTATTCTTTCGAAGATAATTCTTATGCACTAAAATTGTAATAAAAAAACTATGTCTTCATTCAATCAAATCATACTATAACATTTTAATTTTTTTTATAATTATCATACCGTAACATTATGTTTGTTGGATAGATTTTATATTTGTTTTTGATAGTTAGATAAAATTCATTAGCCTAGTGAGAGAGAAACAAAAATGGCAGAACAAGAACCACATCCACCACCAAACGATGTCTGCTCAATCTGCCACGGAACCTTCCAGATTCCCTGTCAAGCAAACTGCTCCCACTGGTTCTGCGCTAACTGTATACTCCTTCTCTGGCGCCACACTTCCGGCATTCAACCTTGCAAATGTCCGCTCTGTCGTCGACCGATCAACCTCTTGGTTCCGACTCATCCCACCGACCACATTAACAGCGATGATTCCAATCGGATTTTGTCCCAGATTCAGATTTATAACCGGACTTTTGGTCGCCAGGAGGATGCTCCCATTGCTCAGAGGATTCTTGATCTTCCGTTTTTGTTGAGGAGGCTGTTTAGGGATTTTGTTAACCCTAATAATTCGCTTCCGCTTGTTGTCAGAGCTCGGGTTTTCCTTTCGGTTTGTTTTTTCTAACTCAACTGAATCTTTCATTGTCTCTAGTTGTACTTGAAATTCAATGGAACAAATTTTATTAGGGTTTTTATCTATCAAACACACACACCACGAACACGATCACACCGATAATAATTTTAAAATTGAAGCAATCATAAGTGTCGGTGCACGCCTTTCTTTCAGAGGTTTTTATGGGCGTTTTCTTGTTTGTGTAGGAACTGATAAATTTTCTTTGAAATTGGAATTGCTAAATTTTGATTGTATGTAGTTCAGATTTGTGTCTTGATTGATTGATAGATAGTTGAACTTGAATATAATGAAATTGGTTAGGTTTAGGGTTTTTCTTTGGGGTGTTTTATGTTTCTGTGTGAGTGTATGACTCACTTTTAATAAATTATGGAATTGAAACCCTATAGGCAACTAAGGCTAGCAAACTTTTGTTGGCCATCAAAACTATGTGTTAGTCCTAAAGTCTTTGATTTGAGTCCAACATGTATTACATACATTTTGAGTTTAGAAATGAAATAAATTTGTTTACTATACAAAAAATTGATTCTATGAAACTGAGGTTTGTCTCACAATTAGCTAGCAATTGTATTTTTATAAAAGTTCCAATCGCATTTGATCAATTTTCATACATTGCAACACATTTGTTGTGTGAATCCTAACACTGACATTGTCTTTTATACAGATGATTGTGAGTGTTATATACATCTTCAGCCCCATTGACATCATTCCAGAAGGTAATGATGCATTGTAGTGTCGCCAAGCACATTATTGATTAATGATTTCGGTTACTTGTTATATTTTGCCATTTTGTTTAATATGTGAAATTGTTCATGTTAGAGTTTTCTTCCCTTTTTCTGCAGGAATATTGGGAGTGGTTGGTCTCTTGGATGATGTCCTAATTGCACTAATCTTCTTCCTATATGTTGCTACCCTCTATAGATCTGTTCTTTACCGCCGTCATGGGGGTGGGGGTGCATAAGTAAAGTTGTGAAATGAAATGTTGTATTTTCTTCCATCTTGTGAAAATTGACTATAACCATGTTTTGTACATAAGATTGACACACTTTAGATCAGTTTATAATTTGGATTTAGCAAGAGGTTAATCTATAAGCTCCATTTAAATTTCAAATATCTTGTAGAGCCAAAAGAAATATCAAAGTTTATCTTTCTCAATTACGATAGTTCTTACATGTTGATGGCTATAATTTTCTGCATAAAGTTACCTAGACAAAGCATAAAATGATGTGAACATGACACTATTATTTGATATATCATTATTTTTCTGTTTTAAGATGAGTGTTGTTTTAGAGGAAAAAAATTATTTCAAAATAAATGTCACTTTTTTTTTCTTTCACATTAAAGATATTTCCATTAATGAGGAAAAGAGAGAGGAACATTCGATATGGGTTTCACATAGGGATAACCATTTGATCAAGTTAGAGCATCTTGCAGTCTGCCGCAATGGGCTCAAGGGAAGCGCTTTTTCTAGCGCCATTAATACAGTCCATTGCATTGAGGCAATTAGATTGGATGATAATTTTCTTAAGATTCAGCTCTTTTGCCATCAAAAGACATCACCTTATAGCTAGCAACTTGATCACCTCCCAATTAGATTGGATGAAAATCTTCTAAAGCTTCAACTCTTTGTCATCAAAAGGCACCACCTTATAGCAAGCAACTCGACCATCTCTGCCCTGACAGAGATAAACTCTTTTCTGTTGGCCGCAAAGACAATATCTAAGTTATACTTCTTAAAGGTACAACCAAAAGACACAAATCCATCGCACACATGCATCCACCTGCATAATATGAATATTTTGTTGCGTAAAATCTACCACAGGCCGCTCATATGTCGTCTTCTTCACACGTGCTTCAAGATTCCACCTATTAAATTCGATCACACCATCAAGAGCTTCATCAACCACTTTGAATGGCTCCACATGTTTCTTCTGATACATGGGCATATTCTTCGCATTCAAAATTTTGTGTATAACCAAACACAAACTAAATATTAAACATATCCCGACAAGTAAGAAAATTAAACAACCAAGCATTGATATCCAGGTCAAGAGGAACATGATATCCCAAAATAGAGGAAAATAAAATCTGCTTTGAAAACGCACACTTTAAGAAGAGATGAGATGTGGATTCATTGGCATTGTGACAGAAAGAACACATATCATCAAGCCTAATATCTTTCTTAATAAGGTTGTCTTTTGAAGGCAGGAAATTTTTCGCAATTCTCCAGATCAGGTTGCAGGTTTTGGTGTGTTGGAGCCTTCCAAATCTCCTTCCAAAGGTTTTTAGACGGACTTCTCTATGGACCTGGACTTTGAGCAATCTTGTACTGCATATTGACGTGATAAGTTGTCCAAACCGAATAATCACCACTCCTCTCAAAGTGCCAAATCAAAGGATCTTCGGTTCATCTAAGCGAAAGAGGAATGCTAACAATTTGCCTCGCTTCCACTGCATTGAAACAATTAAAAATCAGATTCCTTTTCCAAGAACCCAAGTCTCTATCGATCATATCCTTCACCTTAGATTCCAAGTTTAAACCACTCACTGCACAAAGGATCTTGAACCCAGAATTCTCCGAAAGCCTCATATCTTTGAAGATCTGAAATTTTTTCCCGTTTCCTATTCTCCAATACGCACCTTTCTGAATTAACTCCCGAGCACGAATACTCATCCACGTATAACTAGGAGCAAAACCAGATGAACTTTCCTCTATAGTGCTTCTTGTGTAGTACTTGCTCTTGAAGACTCTGCTCACCAAAGACTTTTCATCAATCATCAAGCGCCATTAATGCTTACCTAATAAGATTTTGTTAAAATCACTAATACCACGAAAGCCCAAACCCCTTTCTCCTTTTGCCAATGCCATCTTCTCCCAGCTTAACCAATGAACTTTCCACTCACCATTCTTTACTCCCCACCAAAAGTTGGCTAACATGACTTCAAGCTCATGACAAAGTGTTTCCGGCAGCTTATAACAGCTCATGATGTAAGTTGGAATTTCCTGGGCCACCGTTTAGATCAAAACTTCCTTACCTGCTATGAACAGAAACCACTCATTTCAGCCTTTGATCTTTTTCCAAACCCTTTCAATAATCAAAGCAAAAAATGTCCTTCTTAGATCTTCTGAAAACCACTGGTAAACTGAGATATTTGGTGTGGCTACAGACAATCTTTACTCTCATCCTTGTTTTGATAAACTGTTTATCTTTTTATCACATATTTCGACTAAAAGAAACCTCTTTTTATCAAGGGTCACCACTTGGACAGACGAAACTCGGTACTTCTGAAGGATATCCATGACACAATCAACTTCATACTTATTTGCTCTTGTGAAGAGAAGGCTATCATCAACGAAGAATAAGTGTGTAATAGTAGGGGCCTTCCTCACAACCTGGATCATGTGGATACTATTAGTCGTAGCTTCATGATTCAACAAACCTGAAAGGACATCAGCACAAAATATAAATAAATACGATGAAAGAGGATCCCTTGGTGGAGACCCCTCCCAGGAATGATGTTCTTACTAGGCTGTCCATTGACCAGAACTCTGTAAGAAATAGTAGAGATGCAATTTCTTATGAGATTGCCCATACTATTTGGAAACCCTATAAAGGTCAGGACTTCAATAATAAAGGACCACTCCAGTCGATCATAAGCTTTTGACATATTCATACTTAGGGCCATAACACCTCTTTTACCCTTGGTCTTATTTTTCATCCAATGGAAGCACTTCATGGCCGCTAAAACATTACCCATAATGAGTTTCCCTTTCACAAACACACTTTTCTCTTCATCAACGATGTCAGGCAGAATGTGTTTGATTCTGTTAGCTATCGTTTTTGCAATCACCTTCATCACCATATTACAAAGGCTCATGGGACAAAAATCTTTCTCAATTGAGGGATTTTTACATTTGGGAATAAAGGCAATGTGGGTATTATTAATCATATTGGAATCTTTATTGCTTTCCAAAACCTCCAACACAAGAGAACTGACATCGGGCCCAACAATATTCCAACACTTTTGGAAGAAAATAGAGGGGAACCCATTGGGGCCAGGAACCTTAAGGGGATACATTTCAAACAGAGCATCCTTAACCTCCTGGTAAGTGAATTTTCTGTCACACCAACTAATGTGTTCCGACTTCAACCTCCCCTTGACCACAGAATAGACATCCTGGACATTTGATTGAAGGGATGAAGAAAATAATTCAGCAAAATAGTTAACTAAGAGTATTTCACAATGTTAGTCGCCCCTCCACCACCTCTCATTATCATCTCTAAGTTTGCGAATAATGTTAGTCTTCCTTATTTGAATCACTTTCCCGTGGAAAAACTTAGTATTCTTATCACCATGTTTGAGCCAAAGGGACATACTCCTCTTCCTCTAAACTACCTCTTCCACTTGGAGTAAATTGTTCCTCTGTCTTTCAAGGGCCTTATACGCTTCAAAATAGGTCGGGTTTGCATCCCACTTGATATCATCCTTCAAAATCTCTTTAATTCTTCTTAACTCCTTATTAACAGTTCCACTCTTATACTCCTTAAACAAATCATCCAATCCTTTCATAGCCTCAAACTTTCGATGACCATATGCATGAAAATTATTCCACAGTTGGGCCACTAAATCTTCGCATCTTGGATCATTTCACCACACCTCTTCAAACCTGAATATGCGTCTCCTTTTCCTGCTTCTACACTTGTTATCAACTTCCAAATCAATTCTAATCGCAACATGGTCTAAACTGTATCTGGACAAATGGCTCACCCTAATAGGAGAGAATATGTTAATAAAGCCCTCATTTTCCAAGCTCCTATCCAACTTGCATTGAACATTATTGTTACCTCACCTACCATTAGTCCAGGTGAAAGGATATCCCTCAAAACCAAGGTCAGATAACCCACAATTATCCATAGTGTTCCTCCCCACTAACAGTTTCCCAGAAGTTATATTAATTCTTCCTCTTTTATCATTTTCGGCCAACACGTGATTTAGATTACCAAAACAAACAAATTTGTCTCCGCCTCTACTAACCACCTCTTAAATGAAGGTCCACGTTTTCCTCTTATTTTGTTCCTCTGAGAAACCATAGATCCCGCAGGGAGACCAAACCTGTTGATCGCTATCATCAACAACAGACCCCTCTATATGATTAATAGAGTAAGAAGATATGTTAGCTGAAGGTTCTCTTTCCAGAAGAGGATCAAACCTCCTGCTCTCTCCCTTCCTATTCCACTATAATCCAAACTAAGAAAACACTCAAAATCACTTCTACTTTTGATATTTTGGACTTCAACACTCTTAAGACGCGTTTCTATAAGGAACAACATATTGGGGTTTTAATTTCGGTTGAGACTTAACAAGGCTTAAACTTCCCGGGGACTCCCTAACCCCCAACGGTTCCAACTTATAATTTTCATTGGGCTAGGCGGTGTTGGTCATCTAACACCGCCTCCAATACATTAGCTTGAACTTCCTTTTCATTACTTTGGCCTTTTCTCTTCTTTTTCTCGCTTCCACACCCTTCTACGTCACATTTTATAATCATGACATCCACAAGATGTCTTTTCCCTATTTCCTGCTCCAGTTTCTTTCCTTAAGATGAGGTTTCTTTCTTGGTGTCCACCTTCCTAGTCCATTTCTTCCTCCTTACATTTCTGGCTTTTGGGTCTTTTCCTCTTCCGCTTCCAACATTGGAAATGTTGACTGCCCCAAAAGATTCGGAGACAACTTCTATCTCCAAGGAATTGTTGCCCGAAGGAACATCTTTTGTTATTGATAACTCCCGTTGTGTGGTTACACTCTCCGTTTCTTGGGTTTGATTAACCTCCACATCTACCTCATTTTCCTTGCCTCTATTCTCACACTTACTATGCCCTGAAGAGATATTGAATAGACTTACTGCATGAGCTTAAGGTGGAATCTTTCTTCTTTTGTTAATATGGAATTCTTGATAGTGGTGAAGCTCGCAGCCAAACCCCGAAAGATAAGTCTTGTTTCTCTAATTCCTCAAAACCCTCTTCACTAATGTCCCCCACCGCGTTACAGTCCTTCAATTGGTGGCCCAATCTTCCGCAGACAAAATAGAAATTCGGAAGCCTTTCATATTTGAAAAACATCGTTAGATTCTTATCTTTAAAGCATACCACCGTTCTCCTTTTCAATTTTTGTTTTAAATCAACTGTCACCTTTATACACAGAAACCTCTCATTCTGATGAGCGTCATTCTGGTCCACCTCTTCAAAGGTACCCAAAATCCCTCCCAACTTCCTTAGCATTAGGGGAAGTTCCTAGACTCTTTCCCAAATGCTATCGTAATGCATGTTTAACATCGAAGGTTGCACCTCTCGTGATACTCGAGCTAAAACCAACAGACTCCTATCAAAACTCCATGGCCCGTTTCTTAGCATGTTTTCCAGATCTCTCTTAGTGGCAAACCTAAATAAAAATAGGTTATTTCTTAGTTCTTGAGTTTCCAATAGATTTTTCAGTTTTCATGCTCTAATCACCGTGTTTGTAAATGCTCGAGAGTTGAAGTTGTTATCGGACCACACCTTCCCAGCTAGAGTATGCTAAAAAATCTCCTCTCCTCTTACTTCCTCCATATCTGCCGTAACCTCTTCCTCTCCCTCCTTTGACAGAGGAATCTCTTTCCATTTTTCCATGACCCAAAACCAAAAACAAGATCACGCACTCAAGCAGTGAGATAGAAACCTTCTACTAAAGAAGAGGATAAACCAAATGACTTGGGGATAAAACCAAAAACACCAAGGAAGAAAGCTCAAAACCCTAGATTTGGATAATAAAACGAAGGACATGATAAGTTTTTTAAAGAGAACTTGGAGCTTTGCTTTCTAAATCACGTGGAAAAATCTTCATTCTCATTTTTTAACATAGAAATGATTGCTATTTTTTCAATTGTATTATTTAATTATTTTTCTGTATGTTACTTCTAATACATTAATAAGGTTAATTTAATAAAAATTTAATATTTATGACACTATTATTACATTTCTTAATTTGTATGCAAAAATCTTTAATGATGATCATTATAAAATGGAGGATTTTAATTGTCATTATAAAATGAAGAGAGTATAAATGAAAGTGAGTGTAGCATGAGTTGTACACACAGATTTACTATTACAACAAATTATAAGTAATAAAAAACCATAAAAAGTCAAAGAGAGATTACTTATGATATCTTCTCTTTAAATGTGTCATCATCATTACTTTCTAAATCTAAAGTGCCAAAATCATCCCGTCTTTCACAGGGCTAGATCACTGTTGTAGGGGAGTAAGTGGATCATAAAAATATAATTAAATTGACAATTTAAATTAAACTAAACTGAAATAAAATTAATTGTTTCTAATTCGGTTATAACACCAAACTAATCAATAAAAACTGATGTACTTTGGTTCGTTTCTCAATTTTAGTTTTTAGGAATTATCAAACTGGTGAACCGAACCAATGAAAATAATTATGCTAAATATTTCATCTCACCCATCATTAAGTACAAATTATTTATCGGTTTAATTATTCTCTATCTTTGTTTATACTTTTTCCTTTTAGTAAACACACATCTAGAACTAAACTCGGAAACATAGAAAGTAGAAACCATAAGTCATAGAAAACTTATTTTCACTGAACTACTGCTCTCGCTGTCCATCATCATTGTTTCTCTCACCATCTTCATTCTTGTTGAAAGTGTAATTCCTCGTGTTGAAGCAGGTTATTGCTCGACATAAGGTGTGTCGAAATAGATTAGTTTGTTGAGTTGTGTTAGCTGTCGAAGTGTTGTAAACAGGTTACTACATACAGATTCGATTTATGTCTAAAATATGTATTTTGGGCTTTTGTAGTTTTGGGTTGTTTAGCTTAGGGAGAAAGAAAAGTTTAATTTTAAATAGATGGGGTAACCCCTATTTTTGTAATCAACTCAGAACGCATTGTATTCACATAATTTGCAATTGCAAGTGAATAAATATTTTCTACAGTTTGTGGGCAGAGAGAAACTCTGTAGAAACCCTAATCTCTTTTCTTCTTTAAAAAAAATTTCATCGTTATTGTGTGGTGATAACAATCTTGTTCATCAAGATTGATAGAAAATCATCATAGGTTTTTGTGTATTTCCAAAATCTGGTATCAGGAGCTTCGACTGGGGGATCAAGGGAAGAAGAAGAAAATCACAATGACGGTGAATTATGTGAATGAGAATTTTCTAGCAAGCCTTCCAATTATTAAAGGTGATAACTATGAGATTTGGTGCCAAAAAATTAAGGTTATATTATGTTATCAAGGTCTTTGGTATCTCGTGGAAGAATGATTAGAACTGCTTACAAAAAAGGCAACAGATAAAGAAAAGATAACACAAAGAATTGGAGAAGAAGAATTATAAATCTCTCTTTATAATTCACCAATGTGTTAGTCAGAAAATTTCGAAAATGTTAGTGATATAGAATCTGTAAAAGAAGCTTGGGAGATTCTTGAGAAATCTTTTGGAGGTGCAGAAAAGGTGAAAGAGGTGAGGTTACAAACTCACAAAAAAACGTATGAATTGCTTCATATGGAAGATAGTGAGAGCATATTTGATTTCTTCACTAGGGTTATGAAACTATTGAATTAAATCAAGGTTTATGGATAAACGTTAACAACAAGAGGTGTTGTTTCAAAGATCTTAAGATCTTTGGCTCTAAAGTTTGACCATGTGGTAGTTGTCATATAAGAGTCGAAGAACATGTCAACTTTTTCAAAGAAAGAGATTCAAGGGACGCTTAAATCTCATGAACAAATAATGGCTGAAAGAGCTGCATGCAAGTCGAAGAGTGATGTGGATTTGTAGGCACTCTCAGCAAAAGAAAGTAAAGGCAAATGAAAGTGGTTCGATAGAGGTAGAGGTGGCTACAACAATTCAACTAGTAGAGGAAACCAGCAAAATTGTGTTGAATCAGAGAAGACCCTAATACTAAGGCAACCAAAGAGGTGGTGTTGGAGGTAGAGGAAGAGGTGGTGGTTGAAAGCCTGACAAGAGTCACATTTAGTGTTTCAATTGTCAGAAGTATGAGCATTATTCTAGTGA